TAGAATAAAAACGACTTAGAGACAGACGTAATAACTAAAGTTGTTTTAATAGAATAAAAACGACTTAGAGACAGAAGTAATAACTAAAGTTGTTTTAATAGAATAAAACCAACTTACACGGAAGTACTAACTAAAGTTGTTTTACTAGAATAAAAACTTACAAATATCTGATGATTTAAACTACAAAACTTTAGTTACAAAGACCTTTTAAAACATACTCTACTATTATTAACATAAGGATTGGTAAAGTTGTTAATAGAAAATCTAATTGTTAGAATTCCAAACTTCAAGAAAAACTTACTATTATGAAAAGTTTTTTTTTCCTATCAATAAAAATAAGTACGTGTCCATATAGCAATTTTTACGTGAATTTCAAATCATATTACTGATACCAGTATGTTCAATAAATGTTAAATGTAGTTGGGATAGCCTGTAGGAAAACAACTACCCAAAATAAAAACAGAAAATGAAATACTTAGTTCGAGCTTGCCAGATTAGAACTACACCAACAAAACTCCTGGTAATTCACTTTTGTTATTATAAAGCTTGACTTACCTTAACAATAAAATGTTGTAAGGGTTCTCCATCTTGATCATAAGTGTACTCGCCTAGCACCTTACCCTCAAGATCGGTTTCTTCCCACAATCCCTAGTGTGCATACAGTTTTCAACATTAACCAATACACAGATCTTAATATACAGTATAATACATCATACTTGAGAAAAGATAATAAAACAGGGTAATCACATATGATTTTTCCTCTTACAAATGAAATGAGTAAAAAATACTCCTGTAGCTCCCACCTTACTTAAATGTTTGTTTACAACATCCCCAGTGAGATATAAACATATTACAAAATGCAAAGCTTTACAAACAAGTGCAAATCAACCTTGGCTTACCAACACACAAGTTTTGTAACTATTAATATTCATGGAGAGACAGATATATAAACTTTAAAATCAAGTAGAAACCAAACCTGACTTACCAATACAGTAAAATCTTTTGGAGCACTGTCGATGTTCCCAGTGGGAGATAAAGACTTCGGGATGTGTTCTATAGTGAAAGCTGTGGGTTTGATGACAGCTGAAAGCTTAATAACCAAGTAGCCAAAGCTTCCTTTAAATGCCCAACATTCACCAGGATGGATATTTGGCTGATAAAACAAAACCAGAAATATAAGTTAGCTGAAGAGTACACGAATTACAAAATCAATGAGATGAAAGAAAAAATATATATGTACTTCTTACCAACAAAAATAAAACGAGAAACATTTGAGTCATCTAAAGCAAGTAATTACATTAGTTAAAACATATATATACACACACTAATTAATATGTTAATTGTTGTTGTTTTTTATGTTTGTTGTTAAGAACACAGCTATTCAATGGACTTCCTGTCTTCTGCCCACTGCAGGTAACAAAACCCGATTTTTTAGCATTATAAAATCTCAAACATATTGTTGAGTCATGAGTGGCAATAAGTTAGTTAAGAGAAGTAACATTATCAGTAATTATAGTAGTTAACAGTTTATACACACAAAGTAATTAACACAACCCACAGAACATCATTTCATCATGATAACCACTTGGCTGCATTCAGCCAATACTAAAACAGTAACCAGTTCATACTAAAACATTCTCACAGTGCTAGATGAAACAATAAACAGTTCATACTAAAACATTCTCACAGTGCTAGATGAAACAATAAACAGTTCATACTAAAACATTCTCACAGTGCTAGATGAAACAATAAACAGTTCATACTAAAACATTCTCAGTGCTAGATGAAACAGTAAACAGTTCATACTAAAACATTCTCACAGTGCTAGATGAAACAGTAAACAGCTAATACTAAAACATTCTCACAGTACCAGATGAAACAATAAACAGTTCATACTAAAACATTCTCACAGTGCTAGATGAAACAGTAAACAGCTAATACTAAAACATTCTCACAGTGCTAGATGAAACAGTAAACAGCTAATACTAAAACATTCTCACAGTACCAGATGAAACAATAAACAGTTCATACTAAAACATTCTCACAGTGCTAGATGAACTATCAAATATCTTATCTTAAATTGTCTTTACCAGGATATATAGACTTCTAATAAGTAATTTACTTACTCAAATAAAAAACGAGAAAAAAAATAGATGAAGCCTTTTATCAACATTTCTCTAACTATTTTTACCTGAATAACAGTCCGTGGTGAGTTATACGCATGCCAAATTGGTATACCAAATATTCTGTATTGTCCAACACCCATCTGATACGTTTCTGAACACCTTGTACTCACAATAATGCCACCTATAATTGATAATATATAATAAATCCCTTCTGTTCAAAACAACAAAGATCTAAAATGATGACATTCTGCACTTCCTTTGCTAATGCATCTATTGTGAATCAGCAAAGAGATTTTAATTTTTTCTGATTCTACTTCCCTTAATATCTGTAAAACATTAGATAACAAAATAAAATGTATGTACAATTAATCCCACAATGCCTTTAAGGACAACATCAGCATACAGATATATCTTTATTTTTTGATATAACAACAGTTCCTTTCATGGCCTAGTACGGTTTTTTGCTTTTAAGATGCCAAGCATCATGGTATGTGCAGATAGTAAATTTTTGTGGTCATCAAGAAGCATTAGTTTTAAAATGAGCTAAAAAACAGCCCTCCAAAACTTATCTTCACTAATAATCCTTAAGAGGCCACATTAATATAAACTCAGAAATCAATCAGTATTTCATTTCTAATCCTTCTCAACAAGCAAGTAGAATTTTTAATTAACTTGATGTTTGTCTGGATAACCAACATACTGGCATGATAAACTATGTTCAACAAAGCCAAGCTAGCTCAAAAGGAATTAAATAGTTTCAAGTCAATTTTATAAACACTAAATAAAAAAAACAGTTGATATAAAAGTGTAATAAGTGATTAGAACTGACATATATGTAACCTGTACAATCTTTAATTAAGTTAATTCAAAATGTTATTGTTTAACACATTTCACATTCATTCTAACAGTTAAAATGTACAGTTAAAGCTTTACGTCAGTTTAGGCAGCAACAGGTTTACAATGTAGTTCAAATTTCTGAATTTTTTTTTTTCTATAATGACTGATTTTATTTATAAACCAGAATCTTTTTTTTTACTTTTATGTTTCTTAAATGTTATGTCAGATTTCTGGCTAATCGTTTGTTATTTCAGTTATACAAGTCAAGTGTTGTTTCATATTAAAGTCATACATACAGGTCAATGCTGGAAACGGTTTGATCCTTCCATTTATATCTTGGTAATGATTTTCTCTTTCCTTTGTGTGTCAACTCACCTTGAGATTCTAAAGCAAAGTCCACAAGTCCTGTTTTGTCAGCATCATACAGATATATAGCATCTCTGACTACCTTTTTCACCTCCTCTTCCGAGGCACACTTTTGACTACCATTGATAGATGCAGAAAATACAGCTGATGCAGACGTTGCCTCTTCTTTACTAAGCTCTTCTCTCAAGGACTTGGCGGAACTACTTGCAATGGCAGCAGCTGCCGTCTCAGCTATTTTCTCTATACGTTGTTTCATACTAGTCGTTAGCTCAGAGGTCACACGATCAGCCAGGCTTGACATTTGACTCGTAAACTGATTCCGTGTGACAAAATTATTTTTAAGCCACTGTCCAAAAGTTGTGAATACAGAGGAAACGTCTTCATTACCATTCATCACCTACACAGGAAAAAATTATCTTTCATTTTAAGATTTTGATCCCAAGATACACATTTTCTTCTTTCTGTCACAGAGTAAAAAAATTAAACTTTAAATTTTAAGCCTTGTCAAATTGCATAGGTAGTTTTTCCAACAGTACTAGCTATTTGTAAAACATCATTGGTCTTTGGGTATTCACGTATACACTGTATATAGAAATAATTTAATACAGTTATGACTGCTCTCCTTTAAGTTAGAGAAACATTGTTTTTTTCCAAAATTTCCTTGGTTATATCGTGTTTGGTTTTGCCAATGTAGGTAAATGATCCATGAATGAAGTGACGTTGAAGTACAGTCTTTCACATGGGAAAATTTTTTTTATGTGATATGTTAATTTGAAGACAATTCTTAGTTGAACTTGTTCTAATGTAACAGTTTAGTGAGTTAATTTTTAAGAATTAAGCTCTGTAAGGAAGGCTCAAGTACATGGGAAATTTAGGTATAATAATACCATTCAAAAAGCACAAGTGATTGTTTCAAGAAAAAAACTTGTGATACCCATTAAAAAAAGGGTTAAAAACACACTAAGAATATTTACATCTGGAATTTAAACAATTTTAAAAGTCCTTTAGTTCTTAAAGTTCTAAGCACTAAATTGGGAGCTGAATTAATGTTAAAATCAAGCCTTTACATACATTTTTAGAAAACTAGTTTTATTACATTTTCAATATTTCAACTTCTGGTCTTCTGTAGAAGTAACAAACAACTGTACTTCTGCAAGTGTATGCTCCCCCCAAAGGAGGTTATATAAAAATCTAATACAAAAATCACTTTTTGTGGTTCTCAGCTGTAAACATACAATGATTTAAAACGGGCATTAGAATGGGAACAAATGAAAAAGCAAGAAACTTCTCACAAACATGGCTCCCTCTGGTGAGAGTTGGTTTTGGCAGTGCATTTATCTGACAGTAGTTATTTTTATGGACTTCTGTGGCTTTGTTTCCCTTTCATCCTATGAGGATGTTTTGCATTCTATGCTGATCCCTACTTTAAGTCTGTTTTAACCTGAAAAAGGACTCGGCATAGAACTCAAAATGTCATCTTAGGGAGAAAAAAGCAAACTCAGGTGGGCATAGTCCATACAGAAACTACTTCAAGGGTTTATTTTTTCTGATTTATCATCTTTAAGACTTCAAATTCGATGACGAGGAACCCACTTTGAGACTAATAATGGCTGGAGACGGCTTAAATGGGTAATGAAGAAAAACTTTAATATAAGTTTAACATCTTTAAGACTTGATGAAAGAACTGCTACATTAATTTTTACATTTCCTTTATGCATAGTGAAAGATTTCACTAGGTGAAGTCAATATTATCTCCCACTATTTGGCAAGAGAGGCATTTTAATTTTAGTGACTTTGAAACATAAATCTCTAGATTGCTTAATATAATGTCTGTAATTAACACAAGGGAATTTACTGTATAAAAAAAAAGGAATCTTTAATATCTCGGACAATATGTTACCGTTGTCTGTTCTAGAAAATCCACTTGTTTGTTGGCTGAATTAAGCACAAAGCTAATTGAGGGTTATTTGTGCTAACCATCTGTAATTATTAAATCAGACAAGAGAGAATGCAACTAATCAACATCACACACTGCCAACTCTTGGGCTACTCAATGAACAGTGGAATTGACTGTCACATTATAATGTCCCAAAGCTGAAATGGTAAGCATTTTAGGCGATGGGTTTTGATCTGGTGACCCACAGGTTGCGAGTCAAGCACTCTAACCATCAGGTAAAAAAGATCACTTTATACAGATGAAATACAATTTTTTTTCATATCACACAAAATTATTATTTTTTTAAATGAAAAGTACATTTTGCAAATAAATACACAACTTTTGCATATCTTATATTTTTTTAAAGAAATATCGATACTTGTTAGGTACTTCTTTGTAGAATTAATGGTTTTACAATCATCAATTCTAAACACATTTTTTTCTTTATACTGGTTTAAAATAGAATGAAATTCTTAAGCTTTCCACACTTCAACACATGTGATTGTGATGCCATTTTACAAGAAGTTCAAACTTCTTTTAACTGTTGAAATATATCAATTGCTGGTAACATGTTTTAAACGAAATGTTACCTATAGCTGAGAACATAGCCAAGGCATACACATAATGTTTACATGAGGAAAATAGCAAGAGTGGGCATAAAATGCATTGCAAAAGTCAGATAGCAATTTGAGAAGCATCTTTATATTTGGACCAAATAACTCTGCCTTCTTATCCCGCTTACTGCGTGAGACACGGACACGCCCGCACATAAGATTGACGTAATAAGACTACGATTAGAGTTTGTTAAATATCTAGCCAATATCTCCAATTTTATACTTTTCCCCAGATTTAGGCAAACCCTCAGAACTATTCCAAGGGCATCAAAATGTTAATGTTCTACCAAAAGTTGGAAAAATCGTGTAAAAAATATAATGAAATTTACGTTCATAATTTCTAACCTGTGTTAATAAGAAAGCAAGATGATTCTCAGCAGCGACAAGATATTCACTCTGATTACGACAACAATTTTTCATTCCAGTCATCACGTCCTGTAGTCCTTTGATCTGCTGTTCTAGGATGTCAAACTTATTATCCAGCTGCGATATTGTGACATAAGGTAGTGACTGGTTCTCTGTTGTTCCCATCTTACTGTGAATGAAAATTATGAAGTTTACTTTACTCATACAAAAAAAGTGTGTTCGTGTTCTTCAAAAATGGTCATATTAACTGTAAAAGTATTACTTTAATTGAAAAGTTATCAAACTTTAATGATATGGAAGTATGTTTCCATGTTAGGAGTAAAAAAAACAAAGACAGTTATTCAGTCTACTCATCATACATAAAGAGTAAAGTGATTCTTATTTGAAAGGATGTTACCCTAGTCCAAGAAAAAATCCTTTCTCAGGATGTTAGATTGCTTGTGTAAGCACTGTCCCCAAGATATATGTCTTCTTACTGCCAAGAAACATCATGGTAGAAAAAATAGGAACATGATTTGTGAAATTCACAACACACTTTCCACAAATTACACGAGCCCAAGGCAAAAGGGTTAAAAACATCTATTTCGTGTTACCTTTTACAGTGTTGTAAATATGACACCAGTTTGTTGAGAAATCATCTACAACCATACATACTTGTGTGTCTTTTACTTGATGGTTGATTTCTGTCTCGAGTTTTCAAAAGACTTCAAGCAATTAATTTTCTTGTAATGTAGTATACTTTAGTATTGTATTAATTGCTGGACAATATATCTTCACAAATTCTCCTAAATATCCGTCAGCCACATATAAACTCAAATCAATGTTAAAGTACAATTGCTAAATATAACGATAATTAAACAAATAAAATACAAATCAGTAATCATGGGGAGAAACTACAGCAAGAAAACACACACAAAAAAAGTAAAATCAGCAATACAAACACATTAAAAAATGTATAATTTAAATGAAGACTGCATGTTGTTCAGTGTTGGAGAGTGCTGTTTGATGTGGAGGGTTTCTTTAATCAATAATTCCAGGTCAGTATTAGACTTGCAGAGGATAGAGAAATTTGATAGTATAGGCTGATGTCCTGTTTCTTCACTATGTTGGCGTATAGAGGAAACACAGGGGTTACTCAATTTTTTTGTGTTATGATAGAAATTCCCATATGTTTATAAGCTCTGACTTTTAAATGGCATTTGGTTTTACCAATATAGGAGGCCTTACAGTCTCCACACGTGTAAAGATAGACAAGTCAGGAACAATAAGGAATGGGGAGGAGATTTTTAGTATGGAAAATTTTTTTTATGCGTAATGTGGATTTAAAAACTAATCTGAAATCCACTTTGGATCTGAACCCAAGTTCATGATCCCAAACTGATCTTTATAGCTTCCACGCTATAACTTCTAATATGTTTTGTGTATCTTCACAAAATTTTGCAAGCTTTCAGTGAGCATTAAGTCTTTTGTAGATAAAAAAATCAGAACTCATAATGAAGTATTTTCACTAAAAATTTCTCCATGAATATATGGTGTAAAAGTATTAACTGTACTAAGTGCAAAGTGATTCTCATGTTAAGATTAAAAATACTTTTCTACATCTGAAAATTCTCAAATTTCATTTGCATGATTTCTAAAGCATCCAAAATAAATTTCAGACATTGTTTTTCAGTAAAACTTGATATTTTTTTCTGTTATTTTTCTCTACCCTAACTCTGTATGAGGTTGGACAAATTATAGCATAAAACTACATTTGTCTATCCTCAATAGTTTAAAACTTGTAACACTATACATCTGTTTCTACTTAAATTTTGTTTTATTGCCCTTTGAACCATATCTAACTAATAATCCCACCACACAAGTTGTAAATCACTTGGTGAAAGTGTAGTTCAAGTTATCCTATTGAATTACGTAAAGCAGAGGCTAACCACGAGCTACTCAAAAGTGTATCTACAGAAAATTTTTTTTCTTTCTTTTACCTAATTTAAAAAGTTTCTAATTTTTACATTTTAGTTACTTTTATAATAATAAATAAAGAATACACATGAAAAACAACACATAACTGGGTACATAACCAGGTCTTCATTTTTTTGCTCTCGACTGTTGATGAAAAACTTAACCCTACTTTTTTGTTTTAATATACTAATAGTACAAGTGCACTAATTTTTTATATTAAATAATG